CAGAAAAAAGAGATTATTCCCTTTATAGTCGGCTACTTTGCCAAATTCTTCTGGCTCTGTTCCGTCAGTCACACCCACGGCACCCTGGGGAAAAGCAAACCCTAGCTCTCTATCACTCTGCTCTTGCTGAAGTGTGGAATGAAAAGCAATTAGCGTTTGATGCCATTTATGAGGAAACTGAGGCGGAAAGACAGCTCTATCATTTACCAGCCCCGCTCCCTGCACCAGCCAGCAGCTCGCAGGGGCACATAGAGGCAGGCTGGGAATTTAGACTGGAGAGGGGGGTGGAGCTGGGAATATCCCATGGTTTGCATAACAGAGCCATAAACAAACCCACATGCAGCAAGGGGCCCTTTCAAGGCCCTTCTAAAAATACATGTACACACACATTGTCACTGATGCAAACACCGTAAGAGTCATCACTTATTGAACCACAAGATGGTCCAGGAAGGTTTCCAGTAAGGCGTCCTCCCCATAGTTTGCTTATACTCAAGAATTATAAACAAGATTCCCTTTCAAATCAAAACATCCTCTCCTTCATTCACAGTACAATGAATACATTGCAGAACAGATTTATCTGCAATGCAAAACAAACCCCAGATGCCTCCAAAGGTGGCCTTTGCCTGCCCATTATGCCCAAAAGACTCTGCAAAGGGGTGTGCCAGGTTAAGCTTTCACCCACAGTGTCCTGTGAGCACAGTTCAAGTGTCTGGAAACACAAATCTGAACTTCTGTTCCTCTGCTGAAAAATATATGCCCAAACCACATTCCAAAGACATTTCCAACTTAAAATGTTACTACTCTTTCCTGCCACATTTAAACCTACTGTGGCAGCAGAAAACAGAGAGGTCCCAAGTTCAAAGGATTCTCAAGACCCTGACAAAACACACTTTGAAACCTAAAGCTGCCACTAAAAATGTGATGTCCTCTACTTCACAGTCAAATAGCAAAAAGCAACTAAAGCAGTGCTGTGGGTTTGGGTTTTTTGAGGGAGGAAGAGATGGCACTTAATCCCTCCTAATACCCTAAGCAAGGTGTTTTAAGCACTGAATATCTTATCTGAAAGTCAGGCATTGGACAAGAAATCAGCTGGTATACATCCTAGCATGGCCCATCAGCCTCCTGCTCCTGATAAATGAGAGGGACCACCCCAAGCTCCACCAGCCCTAAACCAGCTGCAGCAGCTGACACTACCAGGGTTGGGCTTGCACTTGCAGGAGGAGCTCAAGGCACTGAAGAACTCCTGTGCAGCTGCTCTGAGAGCCACTTTTCTCCAAGCAGCAGCTGCAATAAGCACCAAAAAGCTGCAGCCAGGGCAAACAAGCAGCACTGGACTGTCCCTTTCACACAAGAGTCCCCAGATTGACCCCAAACCTTCACCTTGTCTACAACTAGGGCCACTTTGTGACCAACAATGTCCTCTTTTCCACTGCACAAAGGATGGTAGCACCAGATCACTACATCCTGGATTCCTTAATACCTATCCTTTCTTACAATGAGAAGTTCATCAGCTCCCACACAAAGTGCACCTTCCCTTGCCCAGTGCCTTCCTGACACCTGTGTGGCTCCACCAGCAGTGGCCTTGTGTTTTCCTCCTTTAGCCACGGTGCAACATTGATTGGAACACCACAAAGAGCTTTCCCCTCCCCACAACAGGTGATGTCCTGTGCATCTTGTAAATCCTGACTCAAATCAGAGTGAGGAAAATGACTCCATCTCCTCCTTAATCCCAGACAAACTGCTTCCCTGGTATCTGTGCTGCAGTTATTGACAATTCCAGGTAGTAAAGAAGAAGTAAACAAGCTGAGGGGAAGCAAATCTCAAATGTAATAAAGGAGGGGATGTTGTTTTATCTGCCTGGTTGTTGCTAACTAGGAACTAAAGTTCAATCCAGCCAGTTTTGACATTTTTTTTTTCCTACCAGGAGGAGCTATTTCATTTAGGGAAAACTAGCTGTCTTTGAATTGGTGACAAACTGCAATAATAAAGTTATGTTAAATTAAGAAGTTTGTATATAGAGACTGCATTAACATTTTTGACAAAAATTCCTATATTCAAACACTTCCCCAAGTTGACCAGACCCTATGTTAATTTAATTGCTTTCAAATAATTAAATTCTACATTAAGTGGGGCTAATCTATGCTGTTTCAGCCTAATTACTATCTCAGTTCTAAAAGTTGGTGGCTTTTTTTCCCCCAAAAGAGATTAAAATGGAATTTACCCTTTAACATTTTGAGTCTGTAGTTGTCTGTTAGGTCTACTGAATGAAACCTTGTAGCACAGTAATATGGATACAGCAGAAAATTCAAGCTAAATCAGTCCTGCTCTTCCTGCATTTATTCTGCATTTTGTTTGTTATGCTAATTGAGGCTGTTAGCTAATGGCTTCAGTACACTGTTAGTAATTTGTGGTTTTCTTTTGTAAAAACGAAACTAAATTGGTTTTCCTTTGTAAAAATGAAATTAAATTGTCCCTAAATCTAAAGGAAGGACATCCATATAAACAGAGGTTTATCAATACTCATCCTCCCTGTGCCAAGAAATACTGCTTACTCCAAAGAATTCAAAAATCATCAGGAGCTGGCATTCTTTAAGCTAGTCAGAGGTTGTCCTTAAAGATGCTTTAGTACATGTAGACATCCCAAAGATTAACATAACTCATGCAAAACTACATCTGTTACAGTGAAGGCTTCTCTTATGGTGAGAACATCTGGATCTGTAGAAGGGACTGGAAATTTCCTTCTTATATGGGAATATAGGCTCCACTGTTTTTTCTCTCACCTTAGATAAGTGCAAGCACCACTTTGTAAAAGGAAAAATAAAAATCACAGAGCTTGCCTTTTTATAAACTTAAGTAACAGATTTTTTTCCTTTTCAATTTCAACCTAATAAGCATCCAGTATTACTGTGTAAATTAACAGTAAAGACAGATGGGTAGTGAGGAAGACAACAAAGTCTTGCATTAATCCCACAGGTGAGGTTAAAGATGCCAAGACAGAGCTCCAGATTAATGCCACATACAGTACATTAGCCTACCCCTATGGAACCATAAGATCACATCAGCACACCAGGCTTTGTTCAAGAAATAAATAAATAAACCAACAATTCACAAGGCAGTTTTTCATTAGATATTTGGCATACTAATAAGAGTAATCAGGGAATATAGATACAAACAATATCTTTCTATTCATTCTGTCACAAAAAATAAGACCCTGGAAGAGTGCTCACTGTAACTAAATGTATCTAACAATTTTCACAGTGCAAGTACTAAAATTTAAGGCTTTATTCCTAGGCAGAAAGGCAAAAGCCAGAAAAAAAGGCAAGTAAGTGAAGCTTACACAGACTCTTACACAAAGAGTGACTGTCCCGTGTGACAAGCACCAGCAGAAAGAGCCCATTTATATTTCTCTGTCTCCAACAATCACAGCTGAAATGTATCTTTAGGAGCCTGATCTCAAGTGCAGAAGACTTTCAGTATACTGCTGATTCTGCAGAACTCATATTTCTGAGTTCTTTCTCATGGCTCCCAATTTATGCCATAGACCAACATAATCTGATGCCTGGGAACACCAGGGTGAGGGCTGAAGACACACCAAATTCTTCCTTGAAACACCACCTCTTTATTTACAAGATTTATCTATGCTAAAAATAAGCCCCCAAAAAAGGAAAAAAAACCCAACCCACTAAAATCCCAAATAAATCCAAAACAACTTGCAAAACCCCAGCAACCTGTTTCCATAGGACTTTTCATTAAGCTAAGAGGCCAAAGCTCACAGTTTGTGGCAGAATATCAGACCATGTAGCTATTTCTGATTTATTTCAGAAATATTTTAATCAAGAAACTTCAGCATCAGGTATGATGCTTTACAGATGCCAGAACATCATCACTTGTTACACAGTATAACTCCCCACTCTGAGAGCACAGCCCATGCTGTTTAATACTGCCCATGACAGGGTATGTGAGTACCTCGTCCTCTTACCCCACACTCCTTTATTTAATCCCATGCCCTGGATCCAAAATGCAATTATATTCTTCTAACATAAATATTATAATTCTGCTTCCTCTTGAGAGAAAATAATTAAAAATGATTGTAAGGAAGTCAGGTAATTAAAAGATCACAGTTTTATGGTAAGTCTTGCTATGACTTCAGGAACAAATCCCTACCTAGCTTCTTGTGTCTTCAGCACAAACTTGTTTGTCAAGTTCTAAAAGGGATTACCCCTTTCCAGCTTGCCAGAACACAGCCTGCAATTTACACCAGTAAGCCAAATGCTACAGCAAATCTTAACCCCAGAGACCTACTAATTTCAAAATCCATCTGACCTGGTCAGTGATACTGGCTCCTAGTACCAGAATGCAAAAACTTGAACGGAAATCAAATGAACGGAACAAATTCAACAGAAGGTCACGAGTGCAACTTTTAAGTGACTACACTTCCCCAATAAAGTGACCCAGTGAAAAAGCAGATTGGTGTTCTCTCAAAGCAATGATGACAACCTCACTCAGAAGACACGTCACCTAAAGCACTGACAACTACATCCGCACGTTCTGTGGTCTAACCCAGTTGAGCATTGAAATAAAAGTAAAGCAACAGATAAAATAATCAGCCTGTGGAAGTGAGATAAATAATGGTCAAAAAAAGGCACATCAAGGAACCATGAATTAGTAATGAAAGTTGACATAGGTCTGAAGATATGTGCTAGATAGAAAGATTTTAATCACACTCATCTAGTGTTAGCTTTCACTATTCCATAATTATTATGGTTTCATGTGCCCTGCAGTGACAACATTCAGATGGCAAAAGGACCATAGGTGTTTACAGCTCTTCCCCTGTGTAAACAGCACACTTAAATCTGTGATATTTCTGTTCCAACAACAAATAGAAATTGACTCTATTTATATCAGATCACCAATATAAGGGATTTGCTATTTGTGTTAGTAAGCACATTTATGTGACCAAATGTAGATATACAGTAAACCAAAAAAGGTTATTACTGAACCTGATCTAGTGGTTCCCTCCTCTCCACGTGTCTTGCATCTCACCTCGAAGGAATCTGTCAGAAAATTCAGAAATCACAATCATTAGATCAAACTCTTAGTACTCATAGAATGATTTTATATCTTCAATCCATACTTGCATATATTGCTAATACATTGGACATCAAGTTTATCTGGCCTAATAATTTTTCAGACATGAACCAAGAGATGATTTGAGTTACAGATGAACCTTTTTAAATACACAGAGGAAAAATTTGACAGTGCCAAGGACTAATCAACTCCCAAGGGTTGAACACATGTAAAAATTTTGGGGACACGTGTTCTCTGGGATACATATCCACTACCACTGTCCCAAAAATTTCCAAAGCTCCTATGAGATCTTATGACAAATCACTTAAGTGCATTTGGGTAATTTTACCATGTCTAGTACAGAGGCTTTCTGTATAAAAAAGGCACAAAGCTTTGAATAATCTCATCAACTGCACTTTTCCCCAAATATTAAAGATTAAAATATAACTTTTCATAAGCAGATGCATTTCCTCTGAAGTTATCAAATGTGGAGAAATAAAAGAGAAAAGACAATTTTCAGTGTCTGGAAGAGGTCCATGTTTAAAAAAATGTAGCAACATCCCCAGAGAAACTAAAAGCTTTCCAGTGCAAAAAGTGATGTGTTCATCACAGTGCTGTGGGCACAGAAAAGCTCAGCAGTCCTTGCCCTACAGGCTTATGCACCTGGGATAAGGTCCACAGGTCATTTTTCACCCTTGTCACAGGAATTTGTACTCTGCCACCTGAACTCAACATCCAAGAGAAACCCTTGATCTTTTTCACCACTAGGAAAAATCAGTATTTGTGGGATCCAGCCAATGAAGTCATGCAAAGGCATAACAGTGACAGTTAATTACTTGCTAATCATGCTTTGGCTTCAGGATGAACACCACCAGAAATACTTCATTTATTCTTTTCATTGATATTAGACAATTACAAAAATGTAATGCAAACAATTCCAGACAGAAGACTGTCTCTGACAAATACTTGAAAAAAAGCTCTTTTTTTTTTGTCTGTGGCTTGCAGAGATCATTCCACACAAACCCCATGCTGTTCAGATCTGATGTGCAACTGAAAAAGAAATACGGAATTTGAGAGAAGCCATATGGCAAAAGTTAAATATTTTGGTGTCAAAATACCCATCATAGCTTAATTCAAACTTATCACTTTTGAGACATGAGATCTAGAGACTGGTCAGAACTGTACAATTTTTCCACCAATTTTTATGACCAAGGGTCAATGAATTATTTCTCCTTGACAAGCGTGTGACATTTTGAAGTTTCCTTTCACCACAGAGCTCTCTGTAGTTTCAGAAGAGACAAAGAGACTGCATATTGCCTTTATACACAGTTAGGCAATCAGAAAACATTCCAAATCATTTCAGAATTAATAAGACAAGCTTCATGTAAGCATCAGCATAATTTTATTTCCAGACTCCCTTATGCTTAAAGAGTTCTAAAACTTGAATATGCTCAATATAAAACATGAAACATTTACATCCCAGTTGACAATGACCTTGTGTTAAATTATTAAGGAACAACAGAATAGCTGGTGTCCACGAGCAGGGGTTAGAACTGGATATGCTACCAAATACATGTGGATGGATCATTACTGTACCATAAGTAATGATCACTGCCATACACTGGGCCTCCACAACACTGCCTGTCATCAATATCTATTAGCACAAGGCTGCAATATAAACATTTATAAAGCAGACACAATACACCAGCTAAACCACTAATGCATGTAATTGCTAACACAGAGCCATATGCTGAAAATTCATCTCTCTTTACATTTAACCTGGGCAAATCAGACAACTGCCTAGCCCACAGTCTTCCAAAATTGCTTACTGAATAGAAAATTGTAATCAGCTGCCAGTTCAATTGTTTTTACAACATTCTACATAAAACAAATGAGGTCTGTTGCCCTGACTTGTGAAAGAGCTCTAATAAATGCCAATTATAAGAGCAATTAGGGGATCAAATCTGACATCACAGGTTTCTCTATAAGATATTAGCTCAATGACTTTTTTATAAGCTAATTAGTCATGGACTCTGAACAAGAAACAGATGATCCAAAAACAATAATTCTGCAAAAGTGTGTGTTGTCAAACCCCATAAGGGCAATAACCCCAGTTTACCAATGGGAATTGTATCTGTGACTGTAAACTCCTTCAACTATATTAACAATAACAATCTAAATTATGAACAAGAACACATGAAGTATTCCAAGCATGATCAGCTTCTTTAAAGTCTTACAAACCCTGAATTTACCAATATTTCCTTTGGCACAAGCCATGCTGTTAATCAAATATGAGATAAATCTGCAGGGATTGCACAACAGGAAGAAAGAAGGAATTCCACCATAATATGGGGAACTTGCATTTTCCTAAAGGAACAGAGGACATAGCAGGTAGTGGGTGCTTCAGTTGAACATTCCTGTCACAAAAAGGCAAGCCTGGCCACCAGCACAGTCCAGGAGAAGAAAAGTAATTTGATTTTCTGAAGAACTAAGTCCTCTGTTGTAAAACAGCAAAATGTTGCCTATATGATCATAATTGGGATTCCTTTACATGTGTAAGTAATGACAGTATGTGATTGTGCAATGACACTTTTTCTGTGGGCTTTTGCCTTGTTCAGTATACGAAACAGATGCACTTCACCAAATGAACATCTTCTCTGACAGTCCTCAGCAAAGCCTGGTGCATTATTTGCCAAAAACTCCTCAAGGTGCAGCCTGAAGCCAGAGGACACACAAGAGACAGCTCTCAGGCAGCTTTCACCAGAGCACTTTATGGTCCACAAACTTGGGTGTACCTCAAAAATCATGTTGTCCTTATTTTATATTTAGTCAGTGTGGCTACTTAATACAACAGAATTGGGGGTCCCAATCTGAAATGATCAGCAAGCACTTTGCTGGCTCTTCTAGTGAGAGGCTTAAACTCAGCTACGCTCGAACTGATTTGCTGCAGGTGAAGTAAAACCTGGCAGAAACAACTGAAACAACCTGCTAAGGAAACATGTGCAAGTCCTCAGGTGTTATTTCCTAAAGAGCTATAAAATGTGGAGTATTTTATGATCAAAGCAGGCTGCCCTTGATTTCAGGCATGAGAGTCAGCAGTTGCTCAAATCACAGCCAAGAGCTAGAAGCAGGTATTCCTAATATCAGCAAAAAGCTTCCTACAGCACCTTGACCACTATCAATTAGGAAAAACAGGGTGGGGTGGGGAATCACATTCCCCAGAATATTTGACTAGTTAAGTTCCATTTCAGGGTCTGGAGAGAGAAATAAGTTTTCAAGGAAGAAGTTCTGTCTTTCTATCATATGCAAGATAAACCCTTTGTGTTTATGTCTGGGAGCACACTGACCTACACATGTACACAGACCTTGGAAAAAGATACCACCCCACAGAGAAGCCACAGCAAATCTTTTGGATACTCCTCAAGCAGGGGCAGCCCAAAGCAAACCAGGCAACACAGAAGTTTTACATCAAGCCACAGCTTTCCTCAGCCAAACATACAGGCATAACCCTTTTTCCTCATTAAAATTACAGCCTAGTTGATATGAAAATTAGCCTAAAGGTCTTTCTCAACATGCTTCTCCAAATAACTTATGACTAAGTTACTCCAGATATCTTACAACACAACAAATATGCTATGACACAAGTGCTAGAAAATCTAATAAAACTCTAGCAATAACACTGTTAAGAAGCTACAAAAAGATTTTGACCACGCTCATATACTAACAACCGATGTACAGATGGCCACATACTGCCCAGAAATATACATGGAATAAGCAGAGAGGCAGCAATGTATGGGCACAGCATAGAAACTGGATATTTCCATGGGTTGTCTTTCAACACCCCATTTGGGACTGATGCCATGAAACACACATGACCTCTGAAACCTCACACTGTTTACGGCCATGTCTCAAACACCCTTGCACTCCTGAATTGCCTCAAGACTGAAGCATGCTGACATGACTCTGGAGGTAAACATACAACATTTCTGGAATGGAGCTGTTCCTTCTTTGCTTAAACCAGAAGCTGATGTGTTCAGTTCTGTCTGCACTCTGGTGTGCAAGTTCATAAGCTCAAGTATGGGACTGGACATTTTTTTCTTCATTTAGAAGACTCTTCACAGATTCACAAAAATTGTTACTGTATGCCATTTTTATTTTTCCCCACTTCTTTACTCCTGTTGAAGGAGTATGTTGGTAACCATATGATACTGCTGCACTGTCAGAGTTCAAACAGAACCAGACATAAGCACATAAAAAGAAGCCCTGCATGCTCTATTGAAAAATTTTGCAGGGACTTACAGATACTAATTTAATCAGAAGACTTTTGCAGAGTGTAACTATATATTTGCCAACAACTAATTCAAGAAACAATAAAAAAAACCAAAATTACATTGGCTTTGCTACTTCACAAACCAAAATCTTCATTAGACACACCCCATGCACAGCTATCCACATTTACAAAACTACCAACTGCTCAGATTTATCTTAATGAAGGCAGCTCCTTAAATGAATCACAAGCACCTCATGACCTGTCAGTCTGTGATTGTGACTGGACGTAGTGACATACTTGCTAGGTTGCATGGAATTATATTTCTGCTACACCTGGATAATATAGAATAAGACTGCAAATTCTGTATCTATAAAAAACAAGGCTGCTTTTTGGGGACTGAATGTTTTTTACTGAAGCTTAAAAATATAACAAGTAAAACAGACTATTTATTATAACTAACAAATAAATTTTAAGTAACCGGGATCAAGTATTCAGACAATATCAAGTAGAAATACTGAAATGTAAGAATAGACATTTTACATAAATTTTTGACTGTAATACACAATTCAGCTAGGCACACCAATAAAAGTTAGCTAGAGCCCAAACACTAAATTGTGTGCTCACATAGGATATAATAGGCAGAGAGACTTAAGAATATTTTCTGTTTTCAAGCAATAAATATAAATTCAAGCTGTGTCAACAATATAACCAAGGGAC